CACAGAGCCCCAAATTCACGCAGCAGCAAAACGTTTGGCCAGGTCACTGCAACTCTGAACCTCAATCTCCAAACTTCAATTCCTGATTTAAATGAGGCTCAGGACCCTGAACCCCTCCCTGATCCCAATTCCTTTCCTCTGCTGTAGTGAAAAGGGTCTTGGGACTTTCTAAATTGAGCACTGTCCACTGTGGACTGCAAACCGCCCCAGCTCCAGGCCTTTGCCTTTGGAAACCCACTGTCCTTCAGGCCCTGCTAAAAATGCCCTCCTCAGGAAGCCCCTTGCACCTTCCTCTGCTGGCCAGCTCCCTGTCTGGCCTGGGCTTCACTCACCACCGCCATCTGCCCCTGGGTTGCCCCAGGACCTCTGCTGCCCCTAACTGCCCCCCTCACCTGGTTGAAGCATTTCAGTGTGTCCTGGAAGTCCAGCTGCAGCAGGTTACCCAGCCCGGGCAGGGGCGTGGGGCCTGGTGGGTAGCGTGCAGCCCAGCGTGAGCGCCGGTGCATCAGGTCGAGCAGGAGCAGGAAGACGGCCCCGGCCAGAGCCAGGGTCATCAGTGTGTCCCCGGTCAGCAGCCCCATGGCTCCTGGCTGCCTGGTGGGCTTTTCTGGGCACGCCTGGCACGTAGGATCTGGCAAGGCACTCTTAGCACACAGTGCAGCCCAGCCCGGCTGTTCCCTTACAAAGGCGCTGAGGCCTCCCCTGTCCTCAGCCAATCTGCTGCTGTCTGGGATTCTGCCAGAGGGTGCAGGGCCAGGGCCGGTCACATGCACAGGGTAGGTGTGGCCACAGAAGCCTTTGCCTTTCCTGTCCTTCGTGCTGACCAGGGCAGGGTAGTGGAGATCTGGGAAGAAAGCTCCATCCAAACAACCAGGCTGCTCACTAGCGTTGTGCTGGGAGAGGGGCAGTGCTGTGCAGGGCAGATGAACAGTGGGTGTCGCCCAAAAGACCACCTGACCAAGATGAGCAGGGAGGTCAGAGCCGGCATGACATGCCATCAGTGCCCTGAGGACACAAGGACACTGCCCCGGGCGGAATGGGCTTTCAAGGAAGACTTTGTAGACCAGGCTGGCAGAAGCTGAGAGAATGACTGACACTGCAGGCCCAGGCAACCCGGTGGTGGGTCCCAGGCACACGGGAATGCCTTGTGCAGGTGGAGCCCGGGCTTTGCAAATCTGGCTGGGGACCAGATGTGGGCACCTGGGTCCCTGGGCCTCCAGGAGGCAGGGAGACAGCGTGGAGGCCACTCACCTGACCAGAGGGCAAGACCCCCATGCACTCTGGGGACTTCTCATTTGTGGCCCCCCGTTGGCCTCAGCTGGATGCTCCTGTCCGGGTTGCAGAACGCTCTACCCAGGGCCCTGGCAGGATGCAGGTGTTGGTAGCAGGGCTGGCAGGATGGGCCAGGTGTTCATCCTGTGTGACCCTGAAAAGGGGCCTTTGCTCTGTGGTGTGTCAGGGTCTCCGCAGGCAGTCATCCCAGTGTGGGTGAAGGGTGGGACCCTCCAGATCCCAGGCCTGCAGTGTGGGTCAGGGCGGCCGTGAGGGATACCTGCATAAAGAGGCCTGGGCCTTTCCCATCCGCTCTGTAACCATGGTGCCCACGCTCTGGGCTCCAAGAACCAGGCACTGCTGGTCAGAATCCATATGCTTCACTCGTTAACCTCCTGTAGCCCTCCACGGCAGGCTTAATGTTCCCAGGCAAGGGACACTGAGTCTTAGGGTCACGTAGGGAGGCTGAGTCTTCATGCAGTGGCAGGCTCTGAGCTACCACTCTGTACTCTGGACATCATGTTCTCTGAAGGCCAGCACAGAGGTTTCTGGAATTATTATTTTAGAAAAACATAGGCACATACCTTTTCCTGGGTAAGAGGGAGACATCAGACATGAGTGACAATCTGTTATCTGGGCCCAGGGCTCCTGAGGACTGTCATGTCGTCCTGGCACTGAGGGCTGGCCTGGCTCAGCAGAGAATCCCTGAGTCACATTTTCCTCTGAGCTCCTAGGGAGTTTCTGTACTCTCCTCTGACACGTCCATTGTGATGCCATTCCAGTCTGTATTACTATGTAGCCCATTTAAAATTTTTTCCTACCTTAATCCGTTAAAGAAAAATGTAACTGTGTGTGTGTGTGCTGTCTGCATGTGTGCAAGGTCTCAGACTTGCTCTGTTCAGTTGGGCTGCCTTAACACTGGGTCAAAGTGCTGGCTTTTTTTTTTTTTTCTCCTAGGTTTTTGCTATAAGGTCCATGCCAGAGAAAGACAGAGTGACAGAAAGTGAAAGTGAAAAATCATGCCACAATATCCCTTCTCCTTTTTCCTCTAGGGATTTCGAGCACACACGCACGTCTACACTACGTGATTTTCAAGTCACCAGGTCTGAGGCTCAAACCATGGTCACCCATGTGGAAATCCAGGACCTTACGCACCATACCACCTGCTGTGTGCGTGTGTATGTTAGGTGTAGGGTCTGATTATGTCCCCAAATTGGTCTTGAACTCATGATGCTCCTGTGCTGGCTCCGGACGCAGTGTCCGCTCTGTGCAGACGCGCCCGAGTTCTCTGTGCGTTTTGGAGGTCGCCCTTAACCCTTGGAGCTCTCATCGCGGGGTATCGGCCCATGCGGGCTCTGGTAGCCACTCACCTCCCTCCTTCTCTCCCTCTTGGCCCCGCAGCACTTAGGGGAGACCGCGAGGCCAGTGTGGGGGCGGAGGGCCCCCCAGCCACTCATGGCTGCCACCTCTCCTGGTCTCTCTGCAGAGACGCAAAGCCAAGAGAGGGAAGAAGCCGGCCGCTGAGGTAAGCGAGACCCTCCCGGGATGGCTCAGGGTGGGCTTCCTCGTCAGATCCCCACTGGACCCAGGAGCCCGCAGCTCACAGCGAGGTGTCTGGAGGACGGGGGCAGGTACCCTGCAGGAAACCCAGGAACTCACCACTCTCTGCTGAGGAGGGAAAGACTTCCCAGGGAAAACAAAGGGCTGTGTCGCGGTGGGCGTGGGGGTGAGAGCAGAGGTGGGGTGGTGCCCTCTGACCTTCCCTGTAGGCCCTGACCCTGAGGGCACAGGGAGGAATGAGGGGTGCTGCCCCCAAGGCGGAGCCAGGCACCTGGTCTCAGGAGGAAGGGCAGGTGAGGTCCCTGGAGCGAGCAGCCAGCCCTGTCCTGCAGAGGAGGTGGGACCCAGGCTGGGAGGTCAGGCCTGCCGGGGTCTTTCTGAGAAGCCTCAGACCCCTGTGGGCAGGCCGGGGCGGACTGGGACTTGGTCTGTGGGAGGGGCTGGCTCTAGACCAAGGTCCCCAAGCCGGGCAGCCCTCCCAGGGGAGCGTGGAGCTGGTGTGGAGCAGGAGACAGCAGGCACGGGCTGAGCAGGGAGTGGGTCTGAGCCCTGGCCTCCCCTGTGTTCTTGGGGAGCAGGGCCGCAGTTTCTCCACCTGCATGGCGTGAGTGTTGAATGAACGTGTGACTCCACGGCCTCAGCTACGGGGTCTGAGTGATCCCTCACCTGCAGTTCTGTGATGACCCCATACGGCTTAGGGCTGCGCCAGGCCCTGGGAGATTCCATCCCTCCTTGCATGTCCAGTCCTACTGAGGGTTTGTATCTTTCAACTGGTGCTAGGAGACACCTAAGTTCCTGTGGGGGACACAGCCAGGTGGACATCTAGTCACCTCCTTGAAGGGGCAACCATCCCATGTTTGGCTAATATCACCATCGTGAGAGGAAGGTGGGGACAGGCCCCTCTGTCCTAAAAAATTAAGTCCTTTGTTTCTTAAAAGGTCATAAAAAAGTTCTAAAAAAAACTTCTACAAATTCTTTACCATCTCATACTACAGCCTAAAGACTACATTCTTTGTCAACAACAATTTAATAGGCATTCCCACTAAATTCTTGGCAAGACTTTATAAGGTTCTTGTCCTAACCAATTTCCTTGGCCATTAAAACAAGTTTGCTGGAGCCCCGGTCTGCCTTCTCCTAGTTCACCTCCATCTGGCTGACAGCCCTGTCCTCCCTTATACTCTCTCAGGCTCATCTCAGCTCAAACCCTAAACAATGCTCACAAATCACATTCTTATGTTCCCCACTAGGGCCTTGTCCACAATATAAAAACAGTCACTATAAACAAAATACACTGAGCTCTAAGGAGCGCTCGGGACTTCCATAGTACATGCTAGCCTTTAAAATTAAACATTGATGGGGCCCAAGACCCCAACGACTCCCCTTAGACATCTAACAATCTCACTAAACAAACGTCAAATAACCCTTAAAATAACTAAAATTAATTTCTGTCTAAATTAAAAGTTAAAATCAGGGCCAGCAGGTGGCGGAGTGGTTAAGGGCGCTAGACTCTCACATGGCCAACCAGGGTTCATGTCCTGGACCTGTCAACTTGCTTTCTTTCTTTCCCTCTCTCTCTCTCACTCTGTCCCTCTCTGGTCAAATTAAAATAAATAAATTAATTTTAAAAAGTTAAAATTATTTCTAAAAATAAAAATTTAAAATAATAATAATAAACAAGTTAACTGACCATGTAACAAAAACATTATAAAACCTAACCAAAAAAACAAAAATCTATACCAACAACTAAAAATTCTTATAGCTACCCCAAACTCTGTCCTCCTGTTCTCACCCTCCTACACTCAGGAGAAGAAAAGATTAGCCCACAAACAATACCCCACTGAAAAAACAAAAATTAGTTGCTGTTAGCAAATAACAAGCCAATAGTCCCTGCAGCCCTTGGGCAAATCATCATAAATCAAATACACCACATTACCCATCTTAAAAACAAAACAAACAAACAAACAAAAACAAAAAAACCACACGAGACCAGCAGTTGGGGTAATGGCTATGTTGCTAGACTCCCGTGTAGTTGACCGTGGTTCGAGTCCTGGACCTGGTGGCTTAAACTCGTGCCGGGCACATGTGTGTGTGTGCCTAGGATCCTGAGAGGAGACTGGAGAAGGGATTACAGCATGGTCAACCCCCCTGGGGGGCGATTTCTCGCTTTCTCTCTCTCTCTCTCTGTCTTTCTGGCAAGTGCATGCACCCTACAGGGAAAAAAAAAAAAACTCTAAAAAAAAGAAAAAACTTAGTTACTAAGCTGATTTTTTTTAAAAAAAACCTTTGTGCTTAATTTAAATAACTTTATATACTCCAATGCCCCCCCCCTAAATTTACTGCTTACAAATTTATGTTTAAAAACCTCTACCTCTCATCCTAAAATTAAAAAAATAAAAGCCGAAACCCATAACTATACTTCACTCAAACTTTTACAAGCCCTTAACTCAACCTAAAAAGCCATTCACCATCGTGTTTAAGAAGGTCTGCCTGTTACCACCTCAAACCCTGTCCATTCATTCTAACCAAAAGATTCAGTGTCAGTCAAAAAATCTACAAACCAGGGACTGACTCCAACTGCAAAAAAACCCTACAGTATCATCCTCATCACTCCAACTGTCAAGGGCAACAACATTCCAACCTAGCTACACCACTCTCAAATAAAAACAACAACAACAAAATCAAATAAAAACAAACAAACAAAAAAGATCCAAAATTCCCCAAGTCTTCTCAAACCAAAACTGTCCCATATTTCCTAATTATCCTTCTTGTTACCCAATTTATAAAAAGACAAAAGAGGGGACTGGCAGGTGGCATGTTGATTAAAGGTACTGAACTCCCACATGGCTGACCGTGGTTGAAGTCCTGGACCTGGTGGCTTGCTTTCTCACTTTCCCTCTCTCTCTGTGTCTCTTTGATCAAAATGGAAAATAACAATAATAATAAATAAAGTTACATTTAAAAATTCTCTTAAAAAAGACAAAAGAAATTAATCATAAAAAATCTAAAACAAAATTTTAAAACCTAAATAACACAAACCCATTCCCCAAATCCATTTCTCTCCAAATAAACCTCTGTAGTTTACTTAAAACAACCCCACCTTTCCAACAATAAAAAAACAAAAGTTAGGCCTATTTAAACAATAGTTTAAAAATAAACTTACATTATGGGGGCCAGCAGGTGGTGTTGTGGTTAAGGTGCTGGACACTCCCACATGGTCGACCACGGTTCGAGTCCCGGACCTGGCGGCTTCCTTGCTCCCTTTTCTCTCTCTCTCTCTCTGATCAAATTAAAATAAATGAATGAATAAATAAAATTAAATAAATAATAATTTTAAAAAATTATAAAAAAACTTACATTAAATAAATTTTACTTTTGTCCTAGCCAACAACAACAAAAATACTTATTGTCTTACTAATAATAATTACTTCTACTCTTACTAAAACTATAAAACCATAATGTTAAAAACATCAAAATACAACACTCCCTAAAAACCTAAACATCTAAACTCCTACATACAAATACAAAAACTTCTGGGGACTAGCAGTTGGTGTAATGTCTATGTCACTAGACTCCCATGTAGTCGACCGCGGTTTGAGTCCCAGACCCTGTGGCTTAAACTTACTCTGGGTGCATGTGCGCGCGTGCCCAAGATCTCAAGAAGAGAAAGGAGAAGGGATTGTGGTGTGACCATTCCCCCTGGGGGGTGATTTTTCACTTTCTGTCTCTCTGTCTCTGTCTGTCTGTCTGGTGAGTGCACGTGCCCTATAGCAAAAACCTCTCCAAAACAAAAACAAAAACTTTCTACACCTCCAAAATATAACAAAACATAAAAACACAAACCACTCTCCATAGATAAATCAATAATTTGATTAATTTTCATAAAACCAGTAAAAAATAGAGAAGCACCTCCCTCTTTGAACTGTACGTTTTCCTTGCTTCCTCCTTTTGCCCACAGTAAATAGTGACTAACAGTCTTACTGTCTTTGCTTACTAGTCGGAAACCTTTTCGTTTAGATGTTCCTTAGCAATGTAGTCACCAATCACCAGACCCCTGCCCTGAGCCATGGAGACCATTAAACAACAGTTTAGAGCGTGCCCTTAGAAATGATTAACCTGCTTGAGCTGGCTTCTGTAACTGCTTTCGCATAAAAACCCCACTCCCGTTCCTCTCCATCCACTCCTCCTTTTCCATTATAATCACCATGTCAACCTAAAAATGACTGTGATTTTTGCCTTTATAAACACCCTCTCCTTTCATTGGAGACTTCAGAGCCTTTGAGAGACTTGAGTCCTCCTGTAAGTAGATGTCCTCTTATATATTCCTAATTTAACTATAACACTAGCGACCTCTGAGGTGAACCAGAAGGAGAGGCGGGAGGTGGGTGGGGGGCGGTGGCAGTGGTGGTATTGGGTGCCCCCGCTCCTGAGGAAGCCCTGAAGACTCAGAGCCAATAGTGACAAGTATATGATAAATTCGGGCTGCTGCTTCCAAGGGCCGGCTGCTCTTTGGGGCACACATCTACCCACACCAGCCTGCTCTGGCCGGTTGAGTCCCCCCCCCGACAGCTGCAGTACCTCCATGTCCTGCCACCAAGCCCTCTTACCACAGTGGCTCCCCCGGATTGGCTGAAGGGGCCTCGGCCGGCCCTCCGACTCCGCCCCAGGGACAGACCTCGGTCTTTAAGGGCCGAGGGCCGGGGGGTCTCCCTGTCATGAGGTAGTGGAGGCTGTCAGGGCTACTACAGGGACCCCTGGGGAGGTTCTGCTCTGCGTGTCTGTGTCTGTCCCAGTCAGGTCTCTGCATGCACTAGAGGGTCCTCCCCAAGACTCGGGTAAACAGGTGTTCAGGAGAAACCCTAAGGCACAGTCTGGGTGCCCAGCCCAGGCCACTGATTGTGGGGGGGGGTCACAGGAGGAGGACAGCAGTCCTGCCCTTAGTGGGAGCTCAGGCCAGCAAGGGTCACTGCCCAGGGCTTAGCAGAAAGGACCACACACAGGGTACCTGGACAATGGTGACCTCGCATGGGGTCACACGTGTCCTCCTGTAGACCTGGCCTGGCCCTGATCATGCTCCTCAAATGCCAGGCCTTGGCACCAACATTCCTGGTAGGCCAGGAAGATGGCCAGTCCTACCCTGGGGTGCCCTAGAGGCCCCGGGCGCTGGCTCTTCCTGGGTTACCAAGGGTCATCCCAGGGGTCATTTGGGCCCAGTGACTGAGTCCTGGGGATCACTCTCAATTCACTTCCTGTCCCTCTCATTTCTCCTAGTTCGAGTGACAGATGCCATGGTGCTGACAGAGCAGCTGCCCTGGTGCAGGCTAGATAGGGTTAGGCCATAAACACGGGCAGCCCCCTGGCCCGGGCTGCCTCCCGTCAGTGCTCTGAGTTGCCCTTCATGCCAGAAGCCAAGCTGCTGACCTGGGCAGATAGAGGACAGTATGGGACCTGGCCGCTGCATCTTCTGATCCTCACATCGCAATCTTCCACGGGGCCAGCTGACAAGAAAGAGGGTCCTGGCAGGAAGTCGGGATTGTCCTCTGCAGACAATGGGCCCAGGCACGACCCCGGGCTGTCCGGTGGGAGCTTCCACCCTGGTTTATTGTACATCAGGGATCCGGGTTTGGGGAGCGGGCTGGGGCCTGCACCCCCTCTAGCGCGGCACAGCACAGAGCTGGAAGGGGGCCGGGGTCACCAGGAAGGCGTACTGCCCGTGGTCGCTGGGCGGGGGCTGTCCGGGGGGCACTGAGAAGCTGAAGCGCTGCAGGAGGCAGGTGAAAAAGAGGAAGAGCTCCATGCGGGCCAGGGGCTCCCCGAGGCATGTGCGGCGGCCTGCAGGTGGGAAGGGGCTCCATGAGCCTGGGTGTGGGCTCCACCCTGCCGCGCCCCACATGGGCTGCGGAGCTGGCACCCCACGCACCTGCCGAGAATGGAATGAAGGCCTCTGGCTTCACGAAGCGGCCCTGGGCATCCAGGAAGTGTGCGGGGTGGAAGTGGAAGGGCTTCTCCCAGAGTTTCTCGTCCTTCAGCACCGACGACAGGTTGGTGAAGAGAGTCGTGCCCTGGGCAGGAGATGCCTGACCTGAGTGGGCTCTGGGCTGGGGGCACCAGGACCCCTGCCACCACGGGCTCACGGCCACACTCTGTATCCAGCCTACACCTGGACTCTGCAGGTACCCACTGCCCACACGGGTCCTGC